CTAAGTTCCCTTAACTAGGAAGTGGAGGACAGGTTGGTCCAATTCCAGAATCTGAGTGGTCATCTGTCTTGGTAATTGCCAAGGGTAGAGAGTCCTGGGCAAAGACAGGGTAAAAGGGAAGAGTGGAGGAGGAGAGAAAAGGAGAAAAGAGAGAAAGGAACAAAGAAAGGAAATTAGCAGGTTGTGATGTCATAGAATTAAAACTAGCAGCCACTGGACAAAGAGCCTTCGTGTACAGTGAACACAGGTGTTTGTTGTGCCGTGAAATGAATGGGAAGCCTTTTGTACATCAACCCTCAGACTCTAGAATCAGGTCCATAGATAACACTGTGGCCACAGGGCTAAACCCAGGACCAGGCCCCTATTAGGAGCTCAAATATCTGCTGAATGAATGACAGTTGAGTGAATGACAGTGAATGTGTGAGTAAATGAATCACTGAATAAGTGACTGAATGAATGATAGACTAATTATATCAATTATTTAATAAAGCATTGAGTAGCTGAATTCATTGAATGACAGATGGATGAATTCTTTAAATCTCCATAGAAAGAGAATGAGTAAGGAAGACAGCTAAATCTAATAGCAGTGTCATTTTCTGTGCATTTTATCACTAGGCCTGTGCTAAGAACTTCATAAACAGTTTTTCATTTAATCTCCATAGCAAACTCTCCAGTATTATTATCATCATTTTCAAAGTAAGGAATTAGGTCTGGAGATGTGAGAAAACTTGTTCAAGGGCACATAGAGGGCAGAGCTGGAATTTCAATCCTGCTGTTACACTGCAAAGCTCAGGCTTTTCACTATATAGTCAGTGTTCAATAAGTAATACTTCACTCAATACAGGACTTGTTTTCTGTAGCTGATGCAAATACAGGTGAACCCCCACTTACACAACCCCTGGAAAGCTGGTAAATTTGAACATAGCTAATTACTTATCTCAGCTCATTATGCAAAGGAGGCTTTTCTATTGTATGTCTTTTTATAAGTGAAGGATTACCCTCAACTCATCTGCTTCCTAAATCTGAATTTTGTTCAAAGCAAGGTATATATTAACTAAAGATGTCTTTTGTAGGAGTTGGCTTAATTATTGCTGGGAATCTGGGATCTTAAGACCAGGCCCTTAATTTTGACACTCCATCATAACGGTTTAAATTAAATGTACAAAATCCAGTAAAGGAAAGACAACATAAGTTCAATATACGTAAAAATAAAAAGATTTCTTCAGAATAAAAACCAACGTAAGCCAAGTCCAATTACAAACCACAAACTAAGAGAAAAATATTTCTAGTTCCTATTGTAGACCAAGGGCTGTCTTTATAGAAAACTCTCATTAATCAATAAGAAAAGGATGATAACCCAATAGCAAAATAGGCAAAGGATAGTTACAGAAAAGCAACATAAATGTAGGAAAAAGGCTTTCCTTTACTCACAATGAAAAAAGTGTAAATTAAAACCATACTGAGGGATGAAGTTTTCACCTATTAGATTGGCAGAGATTTAAAAAAAATGATAACACACTTAGGGGTAGGGCGACTATACTCTCAGACTTTGTTTTGGGGGAAATAAAGTGGTACAATCTCTACAGAGGGAAAATTGGTAAAACCCATATAAATTACTATATACATACACTTTCAAGGTATAGGTATACCTACATGTGCAAAATTTTGTATATGCAAGTCACCCACTATAGCATGGTTTAAGAGAAAAAGAAAATGACCTTAAATTCCATCAGCGGAGGACTGGGTAGTTAGTACATTATATTCATTTATAAAATAGAGTTCATGCTACAGCTAGGTATGTGCTAAAATATTTGCTGCCATCCACATGAGGCTATAGAACATTTGAAATGTGTCTAGTTCTTTCTTTCTTTCTTTTAAATTGAAGTACAGTTGATTTACAGTGTTGTGTTAGCTTCTGGTGTACAGCATAGTGATTCAGTTATACACATATACGTTCTTTTTCATTATAGGTTATTACAAGCTACTGAATATAGTTCCTTGTGCTATACAGGAAATGTGTCTAGTTTTAGTTGAGATATGCTTTAAGTGGAAAATGCATACAAGATTTTGAAGACTTGGTACGAAAAAAGGAACATGAGATATCTCATTAACAATGTTTTACACTGATTTTCTGTCAAAATGATAGTATTTCTGATATATTGGTTTAAATAAAATCTATTGTTAAAATTAATTTCACCTGTTCCTTTTAACTTTTCGAATATGGTTACTAGAAAGTGTAAAAGTAATGTGTGTCTGTCATTACATTTTATTGAACAGTGGTGGCTGTGGGTAAAAAACTGAAGTGCAAAAAGCAACGTGCATAAGTCTTCAGTGTACTACCATTTGTGCTTTAAAGAAAGGACAAAAGTGCTCTCTGAGCGATTTGCTTGTTTAAACATATTTCTGGAATGATACCCTAGAAACAATATTGTTTGCTTCTGTGGAGAGAAACTAGATAGGGAACAGGGCTGAAATTTGAACCCTGAATCCTTTAGTAAATTCCTGAACTAAAATTTACAAGCATTTTAAATAATAAACAGTGGCTCCCCTTACCCGCTGGGACCCCTGTTCTGAGACCCCCAGTGGATGCCTGAAACCCCAGGTAGTATTGAATCCTATAAATACTATGTTTTTCCTTATACTAACTAGGTGGGTAGTGTATACGGCATGGATAAAATGAACAAAGGGATGATTCACTTACTTCCCAGGTGGCACAGAGCAGGACAACGAAAGATTTCATCATGCTACTTAGAACAGCATGCAATTTAAAACTCATGAATGTTTATTTCTGGAATTTATCATGTAATATTTTTGCACTGCAGTTGACCATAGGTAACTGAAACCAAAGAAAGCAAAACTGCAGATGAGGGACTATTATTATTTAGATATCATTTATGTATATTATACATATTATGTATATACATATTAGTCAGAAGTAGTTTAAAATGTTTAACATAGGGTAAAAATATTCAGAGAAACTAGAAATAAACACACGTGTATGTGCACAGAAAAAGGAACTGGCCAGATAAACACAGTGAAGAGAATGGGTTGGATACTGAAAGTGAGGATTTGCTCAATGTGCTCAATTTTTTACTCTGTACTGTTTGGGTCTTTTGTAAAGAGAAAGTTTAATTTATGTAACTCTAATAAAAGAAACTAGATTAGAAAGAAATGTACCAAGATGTTCACAATAGCTGTCTTTAGAACATGAGATTATAGGTAATTTTCCCTTCCTACTACTTTAAAATTTTTCCCAATTACTCTACATTTTCCTAATTAGTCTATAAATAAGACTCTTTGGTAATGGAAGCACCAAAAACCTTTTTATCACTATAGTTCTTTTTCTTTTTTTCATAGTTTCTTTTAAAAAAATACTTTTAAAGACTCCATTAGCCTCTTAAGGAATTTTAAATTATTTTTGTTGCTTTTTTAAATGATAGCAAGTACTGTGGGCTCTTTATAAAATGTCAAATAACACAGAAGGATCATGGGGAAAGACAAAGTACCTCGTAATCCCATCTCCTCTACAAAATAACGACCATTCTCTGAAACTTTTTAAGTACTGCTTTTATATTAAGAACTTAATTTCGAATTAACTGGAGAGATTGAGACCTGGAATATACTTGCATTGTGCCAAGCACAGTCCTAAATGCTTTAAATTTATCTTATTAAATCTACCTAACAATTCTAGGGGGTAAATGAACTCTCTAGGGTAAACGTTTTGCGCCAGTAACCACTCTATCAGGGCTAGGAGGGTTTAAACAGTTTGCCTAAGGCCGTACTCCAGTATTGGACGGGGCTGGCATTCAAATCCAAGTCCAGGAGGAGTCTAAACCACTGCCTCAGGCGACTGCCATCATGGTGGGTGGGGCTGGTGTGACTAAGATCCAGGGACTGGACTTGAGTTCAGTCTGGTGGCCCCCTCATTCCAGCGTTCCCGAGAATGGGTGTTTGATAAAGGATTTTTGACTTAGGTGATAAGTGTAGGTAGGGTTCATGATTGGCAGAGAGAAAATGGCAATAGTGGAGCTGGGGCACAGCCATCACTGGGGGGCATTTTATAGTGGTAGCAAAGGATAAGGTGATACAGGAGAGGTGGGTGGGCTCGGGAGAAGCTGCTAGCCCCAGCACTCCAAAGGGTTAAGGCTGGGCAGGAAAGCCCCTGGGGGGAGCTACCACCAAAGGCTGCAATCTGGCAGCTCTCACCTCCCCCACCAGCAGGGACTGGACGGGCGGATAGGACTGGTTCCTCCAGGATGATCTGAGGCCTCTGGGCTGAGGTGAGCTGTGGGGAGGGACGGAAGCCCCAGGTGCCACACGCCCCTATCTTCCTGTGGGGCTCAGAAAACCAGGTGTCCTGGATAGGTGTCCTGGGCCCAGATCGAAGCATCTTTGGCACAGGCACACTTTGGGAGTGAGAGGTGTTGAACCTCAAGGCTGGGGGATGCTCAGAGAAAGGTGGGGATGGAAGCCTTTCTGAAAGGGAAGAGGGCCTGTACCAAGGTGGGGGCAGTGAGTTCTCCAGCCTCCTGTCTTGCAGGGCCAGGAATGGGGGAGTTGCCTCCGGAAGAGATGCAGCTTTTGGGTTCAGGGAGCCTCCAGTTCTCTGACCAATCATCCAAGGGTAGTTTCCCAGCTTCAGTTTTGCTCCCCGCCCCGCCCCCCACCCACAGCCTGTCCACAGACTTTCTTTCCTTAGGTCTTTCTATCTAAACCTTCTCCTCCCCTCCCCCCAAACTCTTTGCAAATCTTTCAGCTTTCTTTCAAATTTTCCCTGGGCAGTTTGGGGTCTGTTTCAGAGCTAGGTCAGGGCGCTTTAACACCCCCAGCTGGGTAGAGTGGACGAGACAATAGCTGCTATCACTTTACCATTGGAAGTGACCCCCGAATTTGCACTTCTTTCATCTTGGGACCGGAGCACTTGAGGGTGGGCGATTTCCTGGGGGGAGTGGCCTAAGCCGCTTCTCCACCGGCCAGTTGGCTGTAGACGATCCATGCTCAATGGTCCACCACAGATATGAAACCCGTTCTGGAGTGAGAGTGGTGCTTAGTTGGGGACGCTGCCCGCAGGGTACTTAAATGTCCCAAGCTGGAAGGTGGAGAGAGAAGTGGATGCCCCCTGGGCTCTGGGCCACCCTCGAGGTCAGTAAACTAAGATGTTTCCTCAAAATTTGGAAGGGTGGGTGCCTCATGCAGCTTGGAGGCCCCCGGGGTGTGAGGGGGTAGACTTGGGACACCAGTGGGCCCAAAGACTAAGGAGTGACTCTGAAGATGCTGCAAGAGTGCATGTGTGCGGGTGCACGTGTGCGGGTGAGGGTGTGTAGAGGAAGGTGAGGCTTTGTTTCAAGTTCTCTCTCCCCACCCCCACCTCCAGGCCCTTCCCCACCCCCACTCGCCTGCCTATCTCCCCTCCCCACCCAGCACAATGATCTGGCCTCGGCCCCTCCCCAGACTCCCAGTGGTTCCTGAGTTGGGTCCCTTGTTTCAGATGGCCCCAGCCAGCCAGCTCTTTTGCCAGCCGCCCACGGCCTCCTGGTGGCCTGCACTGCTACCCCTCATGGGCCACACTCCCCATTCTCCTTCCCTTCCAGACATGTGGTCCACTAGAGCTACTAAACTTGGGAACTCCCAAGGTGTGATTGACTCGGCGACCTCAGACCTATCTCAGTGCCCTCAGGCGCTCCCGCTGCCCTTGGTGGTGGGAGGTTCCTTGGGAAGTCACAGCCATGAGATTCTCCTGCCACCAAGCCCAGTGGCCGTCCATGCCCTGTGGGGCCTCCTGGCCACCGGGGAAAAAGCCAAGATGGCTGGCGCTCCCTTGAGCCAGGGGCGCAGCCCGGGGGCCAGGCCAGTGTAACTGGGGGACTGGAGGGCAGGCCAGAGAGGCACGGAGCCAGGTGGGGTGAGAGGCCAGCTAGCCTACCATGATCTTAGCCAGCCTTCCTGAGGCCTGCGTGGCCCTCCCTCATGCTAGTAGGTCCTGACTGGCTGTAGACTACAGAGCCACTTTATGAGGGATGAAAAGAGGGGGGCTGAGGAGAACATGCGGTCCTTGGTGAGTGGATGCAGAGCCCAGGATGAGGCTGGCAGGCAAGGTGTTCTAGAGGCCAGAGACTTTAACCAGCATTGTGTCAGCAGATCCCTTGGCCCATTCTTCCCTTGCCCTGCCAGAGCCCTGGCTCACCCTTTTAAAATGCAAGGGACAGAGGCCAAACCTGGGCTCTGAGACCCCATCTGCTTGAAATGAGAGTGGGGGAGGAGGAAAGCGGGCCTTGGTGAAGGTGAGGCTTTGAGTCACCTGCAGAGTTGCCTGTGTCCGTTCATTCATTCCTTGGCTTCAGAGTCCTTAGGTGCTAAGGTGCTGGCTGGGCGCTTTTTGGATGTCCTGTTTTCTCCCTTCCAACCTCCAGCCAGGGGAGCCTGCAGAGTCTGAGGAGCCCTGCCTCCTTGGTTTCATGCCTTTTTAGATCCCTTCCAAGAATTGTGGGGCCAGCGGAGGCCAGCTGGGCAAAGCCCCTAGATTAACTTTTTTTCTGCTCCTTTTCCATGAAGGCACCTGGTAAACTCTAGATCGGCTCTGCCATCGCGGAAAAGACTGTTCCACCTGAACCCCATCAACCAATTGTCTACTTAAGTATGGTTAGCTTCCCCATAGCGCCTCTGGCCTTTCCCCGCTGCCCCAGTCTCCTCTGGTCCAGACCCACCTTTGTTGATGCGAGGTGCAGAGTGTGTCCAGGGAGCTACGTTTCCTCAGCAAGCTCTTGAGGATAAAAAGAAGTAGGGTATTACCTACTCATATCTTCTCTTACCTCTTTGGGGAAGAGGAAGGAATGAAATAGGGTGGAGTGGGGTGGGACTGGGACCAGGAAGAGTAGGTAGGGTGGGACGGGGAGGGGACGGAGTGGGGTGGGGTTTGCACAGGAAGAAATGTGGTATATCTGGACATGTTGGAAGGTGTTTGGATACTGCTGCGTGAATTCAGGCAAGTCATCTTTACCTTTCTGGACCTCTATTTCCTTATTTGTAAAATGACCAGGTTTGTCTCAAAGTCCCAGGAATCCATGTGTTTCTGCATTCTGTGCATGATGAGCATTTGGGGCCATGTATTTCCCTGGGTGGTGGAATTTTAGGGGTTAGGAAGGTAGCTGTGGCATCAGATTGCTTAGGTTTTGTGGCTTCAATAGCTATGTGGTCTTGGAAAGGTTACTTAACTCCCAAGCCTCCGTTTCTCCAGGTGTGAACTAGGAGTTGCCATCCTAGTGGAAGTGCAGGTGTGATGGAGTTGTAGGTTCATGTGGAAGAAAAGTGAGAACCACGTATAAATAAAATTACCTCAGAAAAGCATCCAAATGCTCACTCAATGTTAAGCCCACAGAAATTTGTAATCACTCAAGGGAACGTTATGCTCTGCTCATGGAGTGGAAGGGCAGGAGGAATCCCCCACACAATTTAAATTAATTGTCCCCTCTTAATTTTTTTTCTGTGAAATTTTGGTTGAATCACCTAAGTTAAATGCATATAGTGAGCAGCAGGTAAATGGTGGCTAGTTTCATAATTTTGTTTGCAAAATATCTAGCAGAGCAGAGCGCTCATTTATATGCAGCTGTAGAACAGTGTTCAACAAGTGACATGCAAGAAAAACAAAAAAAGCCCAGCATCTTTGTTGTTTGCCAGAATGAAAAAGCTCTTCTGTGTGTACAGTGTGTTCCTCAGGGCTTAGTTTTTTATCGTGTATGGAAGTGCTCCCAGTGAAGTTTATCTCCTGAGTCCAAAAAAAACTTAACAATT